ACGCAGGCCGGCCTCCTGGGAGCCCTCCGGGGCCGCCACACACCCAAGCTGCGTGGGTTTATCCTTGTAGAATCCCGCGAGTCCTGTGAGGGGCTGAGCTACGAGGCTGCCACCAGGTCTGCGGGCCTGGCTCTGACCTTGACAGGGTCTTTTTCTGTGAAGGAAACAGACACATCTGTGATATGGAAAAGACCACGGCAGACGCTTCCAGAAGACGAAGTCAGAGGCCACTAGAGAAGGCCACTATGGGAAGGTGTGCCCAGCCAGGGGAGGCAAGGTACAAACAGGAAGCCAGCGGGCCCACATAGGGCAGGGGAGATGGGCCCCAGACCAGCTCCAGTGAGGGGCAGGGCCCCTGGAGCCACAGAGGATCAGGAAACAGGAAGACCAGGACAAGAGAGTCAGGCCTGCTGGGGTCTCTGAGAACCTGGGACAGATGCCACCGCAGGGGAGCCACCCTCAGCTGCACAAACACCCCGGCAGGGCCTGCACCCCGGCAAGGCCTGCGTGGCTGATGAGCCTCTTCCCAATCCTAGCATCTGGACGTGGCTGCGACTGGGCCTGGCTCTCCGCCCCAGCTCCCCCCCAGCCAGCCACATCTGCAGGCTGGCCAGTCCACTGCACTGGGAACGCTGGCCAAGGGAGCGTTGTGTTGTTCCCTCCTAGGATGCGCCGTCCTGCATCCCAACAAGCTCAGAAGGATGAGGCAGGGAGGTACCTGGGAGTGTTTTAGGAAGGGGCTCCGAAGGAACCTCCGGTAGCTCTATTTGTTCCTGTAAAAAGCAGAGGGTAAGGCTGTAAGGCAAGCGGTCTCCGAGGAAAGGAAACAAGTACTTAACTAGCTATTGCAGTCAGACTTAAAGCAGGACAAGAGCCCTCCTGTTCAGACCTGAGTCTGCAACCCCCAGCTCCAGGCATCTCTGGAGATTCAAACCGCCCCAGGTAGGGACACAGCTACTATAGCAGTGGCTTCTACAATGATCCTGGGGTCCTGTGGAGCACAGTGGCCAACTCTTGGGCTGTCCCTAGAGGCCCCAATTCCCAAGGCTAGGCCATACCAGGACCACGGGTGTGATATGGAAAAGATATGGACACCCAGGCTGTGTTGGTGTCCACGGGTCCAGAGAACGACAGTGGCATGACTGCTGGGAGGTGTCAAGGAGCTGTCACCCCAGGGCAGTCTGTGGGGGAGGCCACCTCCCAAGCTGAGGCCTCTTTACCTTGGGGCCTGTTTTCCTATGCAGTTCACTAGGCTCTCAGGCCCCAGTGGGCAGGAGGTCATGGACCCTGGAGGGCTAGGGCAGTAGGCAGCTCTTGGGGCACAGGGAAGCCCTGGCACACTGAGGCAGGGGCCCACAGAGATGGCGCACTCTGCACAGATGTCTGGCAGAGGAGGATACGATTGCAGAACAGACCCCCCTGGGCCCAACCTGCACATCAGCCCAGACACAGGCGAGGGGAGAGACCCACATCATGGCTGGGAGGCCTGGCATCTGCCCTATCCACACACAGGTCACTGCCTGTGCCAGTCCTGGGGGTCAGCCCTGGAGACCACTCATCCATGCCGTCTCTTCAAACTGCTGCTAGAGTTATAGAGAAAGGCCTCTGTTTGGCACAGGCCCGAGTCATTTTAGGAAGGAAAAGCAGGTGCAAAACCAGGACCCTGTGCTCAAAAAGACAGCTGCATATGCCACAGGTGGAGGCCTACTGCATCCTGTCACCCAGTAAGTGGGGTCTTACTGCTTAGGCAACCATGCCTGACCCTGGGTCTCATCACCCAGCAACTGTGCCCAGCCCTGGGGTCCTGTACCTGAGTGATTGCATTCAGTTCCTCCAAGATGGCATCTTCATCCTCCTGGGTGAAGCTTCCTGCTAACAGCTCATCTATTTGCTGCAGAAGAAGGAATAGCAGTTAGGCCTGTTAGGTTGGGGCCCAGGGACAGGAGACAGCCTGTGGCTCCAGGCCTCCTCTGGACAGCAGCAGCCGTCATGTGAAGAAGGGCGGTTTGCCCCCAACGTCCTCCAAGGTGGCAACAGCACTGGGCAGCAGGTGGGGGAGGCCTCGGTACCAAGCAACACCTACCCGCTGGTACTCCACGGCCTCCTGGGTCTCGTCCAGGATCCTCTCCACTTCCTCTATGGACATCACCTGGAGGTCACGAGGTTTGGAAGCGTGTCAGTGAGGCAGACGACAGCCCCTTCATCAAGGGCCACGCCTTGGTGCTCTGCCCCTGCTTAAGTGAAACCAGGCGAGGGGGCACCTGACCAGTCTGCTGGCCAGTCTGCAGAGGCAGGGCCCTGGCCTGGGCTGCCAGAGCTGTCAGACCTGACTTCAGAGGCCTTGGGCTGCAGGGCCTAGACCCCCTTCCCCTGAGCCTGCCCTGGCATCATTCTCTAGGTGGGTGATTTGATTGCCAGGGGTGAGTTCAAAATGGCGTCTCTGCTTAGCTGGCATACATACCACCAGGACCACACTCAGCCAAGCGGCACTCAGGAGCTCAGCTCTCCCACAGCCCACCTGCTGGCCCACTCATCTGAGCAGGAGGGAGGAGGCCCACGCTGGGCTTCCTGAGGCGAAGAGGGAGTTTGCTGCCCCTAGGGAACCTTCGAGGTTACTCATCACGCTGCTCTTTACCCTAGCCAGACCTCTGGTCACTAGTACCCACAGACCCAGCCCACATAGCACTGTGCAGCACCCTCCTTGGTCCTTTTGGCCCAGAGTGCCTGTGCCAGCCACTGATGGTGCCCTTGGCCCAGCCCAGGTGCTGGGCAGGAAGCCCTGCTGGCTCTACTGGACCCCCTCCTCCATGCCTCGCCCAGCAAGGACCTACCTGGTGCATCTTGTTCAGACACTCATTCCCCACCTGCAGCCCCTCCAGCACCTTCATCTCGATCTGGGTGAACTCGATGCTCTGGACCTGAAAAGAACCAGCCCCAGGAGGTCAGCAGCCTGCCTGTACTCCTGACCCAGGGGCAGGGTTCAGGGCAACAGCATGCTGACCAGGGGCTTCTGGACATTAGGACAACTTCTGCACTCCCCCTTCCTGTCCCCTCCCATGGCCCATTGGAGACAGAGGACAGAGAAGGTGCCAGGAGACATGTGAAGGATGTCTGAGTGCTCAATTGGTGGCTCAGGCTACCCAGAGTGGAACCATGCTGCTCGGGCCATGCACACTACCAGGGGTGGCTCAGCCCCAACCCTGAGCACGCATAGTGCCCCTAGGACCATGTGGCTCCGGGCAGGGGTCCTGCATGCCTACCATGGCCTCTAGGCTGCTGATCTGGCTCTCTGTCCTGTCCAGGAGCTGCTCCCGGTATCGCTTCTTCTTGAGCAGCAGCTTGGCACGTCTGCAAGGGAAGCCGGGGTGAGTGCTGTGGCCCTAGCTGGTCCTGCCCACCAGCTGCAGGCCACCTCCCCTCCCCACCCACTCACTCCTTCCGGCCATCTCGCAGGAGCTGCCGGGCCAGGGCCCGCTCCCGCTCCAGCTGCTGCGAGACCCTCTTCTGGTACTGCCTCAGCTTGTCCCGCTGCTGCTTCAGTTGCTGCAAGAGAAAGTGGTCTGGTATCGGGCAGCCCACACGACTGGGCCCTGGCCAGGCTGCCTAGCTCTGCCCATGCTGGCTGGGGACTCACAAAGTAGCTCTCAGATGTAGGCCACCCTCTAAAACAGCGACCTCTGTGGGGCAGGACTCTCCCAGGGATGTGTGGCAACACCCAGAAGCACTTCCAATTTCATGATGTGGGGTGCTGCTGGCATCTGCTACCTCCCATGTCCACTGTACCAAGGAGAACCTCACTCTAGTCACCACAGCCTGGCCCAGGACACAGGAGGATGGGCTGTGAGCAGTACGTGTGCTCAGGGCCAGGCTGGGAAGCAGCCACCAGTCAGTCCCTGGAAGGTTCACATACAACAAGGAGCAGGCAGCTGAGGGCACCTGAGCCCACGGCACTCACAGCCCAGCGGCATTCACAGCCCAGCGGAGGCTTGGGCCGTCCCTCCCGCCTCTTAGTGTGTGCTTAGCTTCCCCCTTTCACTTCTGTCCATCTGAATGGAACACAAGCTGCCAGCAGGCGATGTGCCCATCAACTAAACTCCTTTCCACCTTGGCTGCCCAGAGGCACAGGCACTGCCCCTTGGTCTCTCTTCCCTCCTGAGGTCATTTCCTAAGATGAAATGGTGGTGCCGTGATGAGCAGCGTCAGGGTAGTTCGCACACTCAGGACGCGGCCTGCAGGATGGTTCCTGCTAGTGAGCCCAGTCAGGCTCAGGGAGTAATCATGGTATACACTGCCTCCCTCCCGGTGCTCGCCAAGGGCCGGCCCTGCAGGGCCAGGAGGGAAGGTGCCCACTGTGCAGCCACCACCCACAGCCCGCAGGGGAGACACGGCCTCAGAGAGTGGAGGAGCCCACAGAAGGCAGGGCAGAGGGCAGGGGCAGCACTGTGCTCTGGGACACCGAGCACCTCGGACCGCGAGGGGCGGGCAGGTCCGAACCACTCTGAACCGGCGGGGGTTCTGCTCGGAGGGCGGCGGGGCGGCGGGCGGCTTCGGGGCTGAGCTCATAGTGACCGGCTGCTGCCGGCGCTGCGGATGCCCCGGGGTCCAGAAGCCGGGTCAGAGCCGCCTGGCCCCGACCGGGTTTCCACGGTACAAACGGAGCCCACTTCGAGGCAGACTTAGAGGGGAGAGTCGGAAGCCAGCGGCCACGTCTGGGCGCCTTCTGGAGGCGGACTTCGCTTCAGAAACAGGTCGCTGTGGCTGCGCGTCCCTCCCCGGGGCCCGCGGGGCCCTCCCCGTCCCCGACTCCGCTCCGCTGGAGAGCTGGGCACTCGGCCGCGGCCCAGCCCTCCCGCCGCGACTCACCAGGATGGCTTTGTCCTGCTCGGTGACCCGGCTCTGCTTCTTGCGGCCGAACAGATTGCCCATGGCGGCCCCGCGCTCGCAGCCCGGCCGAGCCGCCGCCGCCGCCGCCCTGCGGCCACCGTACCTGGCGCCTACGGGGGCCGCGCAGGGCCCCGCGCCACAGAACGCGCCTGCGCGTCCCACCCGGTCCCATCGGGTCCGCCGCAGGGCCGGAGGTCGCGCTCGCGCGCCGCCTGCTGGACGCGCGGAGAGGAGCCGGCCAACGCAGGCCCAGCGGCCTTGGTAGTGCGCTCGGACCGAAGAAGAACCTCCTACTTAGAGGGACCTGCGGGTCCACTTAACGCAGACTCCCCGCGGCATCACTGTCCTGCGAGCTCTGAGCGCTAGAAGCTGCACTTGGTGATGTCCATTCGACGTGCTGGATCTGAAAGTGTTTGTCCAAGCGCTGCGCAGCAGCCGCGCCCCTGCTATTTGGTCTGGCCGCTTTTTGCTCCCCTACTGGGTTCTCGCTGTGCTCAGACACAGTGGCGTGGCCAGTCCCAACTTCTTGGTGGACTCTGGCTGTGCCCCTGGCCGAAGGCTTCCTCCCTTCGGGGACAGAAGCATTCCCGCGGGTAAGGGACAGCTGCTGCTGGGAATATTGCAGCCCTGTAACTTTTGCATTAAGCCCAGGGATTCTCTAAAACCATCTGACCTCTCGCCTCCACCCCACAGGTTAGTTAAATGGGGTTGTGATAGACACCTGCCCAAGGGCGTGGCACTAATCTCCGAGGCACCTCCCCCTGCGTGGCGTTGCCCGTTGCCCATTGCCCATTGCCGGGGTAGGTGTACTTCCCCAGAGGAAATACGGGGACTGTGCTCGAGGCGGAGCTTAGTGCAGAGAGCGCTGAGAACTGGGCACCAGCTACTGCAAGGATCTGTGGGCTCCCTGGCCCCACTGAGAGTCGAACTTGAGTTAAGACCACACGTCATCTGATGGTGTAAACCCTCTCTGATGGGGCATCTGTGTCCCCTGGAATGAGCAACCATTTAAAGGCAGCGTCTTGTGATTCCAGAGCTGCGTGCCCACCTCCTTCCTCTGGGTCACAGTACTCTCCTGGCCCCTCTGGGGGAGGCCTGGAGACCAGCTGCTCTTACCTGCAGCAGTGCTTTCTGGGTTCTGTCCAGATCCTGAGCTCCAGGTTTGTGACTTATGCCTGGAAACAGGGTAGAGGCCGAGTCAAATCCATTGTGGTGACTTAAGTCAGGTTTTGGCCACCAGGCCTAGACCGTCTCTGTGCACAGAGTGAGCAGTGTTCTAGGGGACTGCCCACTTCTTTTGCTCCCAGGGACCATCTGAGTAGCTGGGGTTCCTACAGGCCAGGACACTGAGTACCAGGCTGGCTGCTTGCTACAGGGCTTGCCCACCTCAGCTTCAGCAGCTCTGGGTCACATCATCCCTGTGACATCCAGAGCCCATCTCAACAATGGCACTCCATCCCCATGGTGAGCTTGGCAGCAGGCCCAGAACTGATGGGGAGGCCTCCTGTCACTTGTGGGGTCCCAGGTGGTGTCAGCCACATGCAAAGGTTGTGTCTTCGACCTGTCTAGTTGGGGTGTAGGTGTGCAGGTCACACTGGATGGACCCAGATCAACAGTCGTCTCTCTGTGGACCTCTGTACTCTGGTCCTCACAATGCCAGGGACACTCCAGCATCTCACACTCACCCACTGAGTCCCCTGTTGAGTCCGAATTTCAGTCAATCCAAAAAGCAAGCTGTGGCGGGCTCCAAGGGCGGGTCTAGGGGCTGGGTGCACGGATGGGCAGTGGGCACACCTGCCTCAGGAATCCAGCTCCATCTGGGCTCTGTCTCAGCCTCCTGTCTCACACCCTGGAATCCACTTCCACACATAACTAACTCCCCAGGTCTCTGCCAACATAGATTTGAAAATCTTTGAATTCTTGTAGTCTGTAAACCGGGGTTTGGCAACTGCACCCTGTAAGCCAGGTCTGGCCTGGAGCCTACTTTGTTTTATACAGCCTGTGAGCTAAGAATGGTTCACATTGGAAAGGGTTGAGAAACACACACACCCTGCCACCACCAAGACGGAGGAAGGAGGAAGAGGAGGAGGATAGGAAGTGGACAGAGATCCGTGTGTTGTGCAGAGCCTTAGCTGTAGACTATTTGGTCCTTACAGAAAAAGAACCCCAGCCCTGCTCGGAGTGGTTTCCTGCAGTGTCCCAGGGGCCCTGCTCTGAGGGTTCACCGCAGGCTGTGGAGCTCCTTGAGGAAGATGGGAACCCCTGGAGGACTTGCAAATGTGGGGTGCCAGTCCCTTGGGCCACTTCTACTAGGGCCACGGGAGAGGCTGTGAGTGGCCTGGGAGACTCAGGAGGTCAGCTTTTGTTGAGATTCAGCACTGCCCTTTGAGTTCAGGGTCATCTTTCTATCAAGGCCCCAACTTTGAAGCCAGGAAGCTGGCGAGGGTGTGAGTGGTGCACGCCTAAGGTGTGGAGCCACAGTGGCATCTGCCCAGGGGGAATGGTCATCCCTGCTGCCTGGGGCAAGGGTGGAGGAAACAGTGACTCCCATAGGCCCAGGCCAGTGGCAGACATTTCCACTGTCAAGGTCAGCAGTGCAGTGCAGTCTAGCCCCAGGTCAAGTCCAAAGCAATGCCCATTCCACCTCGGAAGACCTGCATCCTGGAACCAGCCCTGGGACCAGACTTCTGTTTCGTGCGGTCCCGGTCGGCTGGCAGAAGCCACAGTGGTCATGTGGACAGAGAGTGGGAGGGGAAGACCTCTAACCAGAAAAGGACTTGAACTATTAAAAGGGCACATGAGAACCCGAAGAAGACAGGGATAGCAAACGGGGACAGAGAAGGGGGGGGAGGAAACAGGACCTGGGGGAACAATCCGTCCAGGACAGGGCAGACCCTGCTGGAGGGCCCTGCAGCCTGCCGTGGGAAGGGAGCTGCCAAGGGTGAGAACCAGGGTCACCTGTGGGGAGACCACCAGTGGGCCACGGAACCCAGAGCGGGTGCGATGGCCAGGAACTCCGCCAGGCAGCTGAGAGCGCGACTGCATTTCCATTGTCTGCAGTACACAGTGCTGTACCCCGCCCCGCCAGATGCAAGAAGCAGCCACAGGTGGCAGAGCAGGTTGCCAAAGAGCAGGGCCAGGAGGGAGCAGGGCTGTAGAGCAGGTGCCTAAGGTTGAGGCTGGGCCCATCCCCCGCACCCCGGACACAACAGAAAGGGAAGCCCCTGCCCCCGCTGGGCAGACCAAAAGCCCTTGTGGCCTGGCCCATCGCCCGCTCATGCCCAGCCCTGGCCTCTCAGCCTCTGCTATTCCAGGTCCCTCCACCAATCCCTGGCCCGAAGGCTCCTCACCAACAAGCCCACGGAATCCAGGGCAGGTATGGGATCCACAAATCCAGCTGGCCAGGTGGCTCTGGTGTGGCTCCCGGCGTCCACCTCTGCACTATTCTCCAGCTGGAATCAGCAAAGCCTTGATATCTGTGGGGGAGGCAGATGGCCACTCATCTCCCGGATGCACCTGGGTCTCCCTCAAGTTAAGTGGAGGAGAGGAGGGGTGACGGCTCCCCCTTGAGGTATGGTCAGCAAGTGAGGGCAGCTGCCCAGACAGGGCACTGCTGCTCCTGCTGCTGGGAAGGCGGTGGGATGACGGGGAGGGTTCCAGGTGGACACTCAGCTCTCTGCAGGCAGCCTTTCCCACTGTGCTCTGACTCCAACAGGAGCCATCCGGAGGCCCCCGCCACCTCGGGGGAAGCCTGGGGGAGGGTCTTCAGATGCAAGGGTCCTGCCCCGAGGAACTTGGTTTATTTTCTAGCAGCCCCACGTTTCCCGATCTTCTCACTCTCCTTGACCCGAGGATTTAAAGCCCTCTCGGTGTCATTCCTGAACTTGGGTCTTTGCAGTGCCCTCGGGAGCCAGCGCCCACCTGCAGTCCTCACAGTCCTGCTTCCTCAGTGATGTTGCTTTGAGCTGCTTCTGGATCTCCCAAACGTGGCGTTCCAGAACCGGTTCTGGGCCATGACAGCGTTTTGCCACACAGGCAAAGATGACCACCACCTGTGCTGGCCAAGCTACAGAGAACCACGGACAGGGCCGCGCAGAAAACACAAGTGTCCTGTGGCACTGTGGGGCCCAGAGGCCTGAGGTCAGGTTTCAGCCGCAGGCCCCCCTGGGCTCTGAGGGAAGTCTGTTCTAGACTCTCCCCGCGCTGGTGGCGCTGGCAACCCTTGGCTGCTGGTCTGGGAGGAGGGCTAGCGCTCAACGTGAGTTTCAGGGTCCCAGCTCCCACTGGAACACAACAGCAAGGCTGTTGCTGAGCTCCGTTCCTGTTTGAGGAGCTGCTTCCTGAATGACTTCTGACACTGGATACTGGGCTGTGTGTTCTCAGGAAGGCAGGAGCCTCTCTGGGCATCCCAAGCAGGAAGGTACGTGCTGCAGAGAACCAAGGGCTCAAAACCACGGAAAGAGTAGGAGGAATGAAGACTAGGGAATCCCATCCCTGGATGGTGGGGACAGCAGCATTGGAGTCTGGGGTCACTAGATCTGCAGGAAGCCCTCTGTGGTGTGAGCAGACATGCAGAGGCCATCCCACAAATTGCAGGCCCACCAGGTGGACTGCCACGGCCAGGAGATGGTGACAAGGACTCCCCACCTTCTCCACCTCTAGAGAGAGCTTCGCAATAGTAGGAATTAACCTGTATTCAAGCTCGAAGCTCCAGCCTGTGCGGACCCGGGGTAGCAGCAGGCTGGGAAATGTGGGGCAGGCGCTGGGGAGGCAGGAGGCAATCAGGAAGTGGCATTCCGGTGGCCTGGAGATGACATGTCTAGAAAGAGGCAAATGGTGTGAAAGGGGTGTCTGTGGGAGCCAGTGCTATAAACCCCACGTCATTCAGGAGTCATCTGTGTCCAGAGGCCCACCAGGCTCCATGCAGGGTGGGCTAGGCGCCTGGGACCCCAACGGGGTGACTCCAGTCCGTTTGGGTGCAGGAACTGGCTGATACCACAGCAGTGTGCAAGCCATCGCTGAACACTCTGTGGCCCTCATCTCCACTTCTCAGTCCAGGAGGGCCCCCATCTCCCAGGCCAGGCTCCCTCCTGGACAGGAAAGCACGTGTAGCGAGAGAGAGTGCCTCGCCTTCTCAGGCCAGGAGGCGCTGTCAGGGGAGAGCTCTGATTGGCCCAGTTTAGGCCAATCAGCTGTGGCCTTGGGGAGTGGTGATGAATGATTGGCCCAGCGCAGGAGTCCTGCCCACACCTAAGCCAATCCTCAGTGTCTGGAGAGGGGCCAGAGGGGCAGAGGGAGCATTAGCCCCCAAAGGGACTTTTTTGTCTTGTCTTGCCCATGTGCGAGACGTGTCCAGGGCACATGTTGACGCCTGGCTCGGGCCGAGAGACCCCAGGGAACTTGTGATGGGGCCGCTCTTGGAAATGGAAAGCGCGCAGGCCGTGGGATGCAGGTGGACGCTGGGGAGGGGCGGTGGGGTCAGTGGCACCACGGAGAAAAAGGGATGAGCCCAAGGAATATTCTGGAACGAGTCCCCCAGAAAATATCGGTCCTGGGCAAACGAGTGTCAGAGGAAACCGCTCGCTTTGACCACACCTGGGGGTGTCGGCAGCGGGGGCAGCGGGGGCAGCGCAGGACCCCAGAGGGAAGGTGTCCTGGGGCTGCCCTGGGGAGCAAAGGCCCTGCTGGCTGGTGACCTCGGCGACCCTCGGAATGAGGGACGCCGGCTGGCAGGGATGCAGGGCTAGGACTCCCAATGGGGCCGTAGAGAGCAGGGGGAGGATTGGGGCAGGGAGGGGCTGCAGGGCCTTGGGCCACTGACCTCCCTTCAGGAGGCCAGGCCCCGCCCGACTTCCCGACTTGTGTGGTGACCCCCTCAGCGACCACGCGGGGGCGCCGCAGGACAGGCGGTCAAGGAGCTGGGGCGGCAGGCCCGGGTGTGCTCAGAGAGGCCCCTCCTGTGCGGACTCACCTCGGGAAGCCCGCGGCGGTGGAGGTTTGGGAGGCCCCTGTGGGGTCTGTCGGCTCTGAGAGTCCCTGAGGGGTTTGCACGTGGCTGAGGAGACACTGCCAGGTGGGACGTGGCAAGGGTGGAGGGTGGTGGTCAGGGAAGGCCTCCTGGAGGAAGTGGCATCAGATGCCAGGAGCCTGAGCACCAGACAAGAGGCCGCGAGGGCTGGTCTTACTTGGGCCTCTCAACCATCCCTCTAGCTGCTGTTCTGAGGGGTGAGCTGTCATGCTGAGAAATGGGCTTGGGGGCCCTGGAGGAGTTCAGGTGAGAGTCAGTGGGTGGGGCAGCGCTGCATATCTGGACTTGCGGATGGGTGAGAGATGGCCACGAGTGGACAGGGCATTGGGCCATCATGCCCCTAGGTGGATGCGGTGCCCTTCAGAAGGGAAGGGCAGTCCCGCTCCAGCCTGTGATCCCAGGACAGGCCTTTCCACTGGGGGGAACTGAGGTGCACAGGAGTTTGGTAGCCTGCCTGAGGTGGGCGGGCACTCCCACACAGGTGGAAAGTGGGAGGAGGCCCCTGGGGCCTGGTGTGGGGTCCCTGTTGGGCAGGGTGCTGAGCTTTGGATTGTGCTGTGGCTGCAGCCTGGAGCTGAAGGACACAGGCTGGTGCCTGGGCAGAGGCCTGGGAAGACAAGTGCCACAGGAGGCTACAGCCCTTGAGTGGTCCCCTCTGCTCTGGGCCAGTAAAGCAGGGCAGCAGTGATGGTAGGTCATGTCCAAGGCTGGTCCTTGAGACCCAGTGGCTTGTCTGAGCCACAGCTTGAGGGCCACTGCCTGGGGGACCCCAGCCAGATGCCCAGTGGAGCCGCCGACTCTGGACCCCTGACCCTGAGATGCAGACATCTGCTGCCCAAGCCGCTGGGTTTGGGGTTTGTTTGGAGCAACAGGGAGTGACACCAGCGCAGCCATCCAGCCCAAGCCCAGCTGTCGGCTCAGCCCATGCCAACGTCTGGCCAGGCCTGGAGGCCCTGCTTGGGCACTCACTCAAGCTCTGTTCCTGGTCCTGCGGCCTTCCTGCAAGACTGCTCGCAAGGGGTCTTCCTCCAGAGCCCCTGGCCCAGTGCAGAGGTCAGGCCAAGTTGCCAGTATTGTGCCCCAGTCCTTGAGGCCTGGGATGTTCCAGCCTGGCCCTCTGTTCCCCGAGTCCTGGTCTCTTACTGTCCCTGGCACTTCCTTGTGCCTTAATATGTTCATGCTGTCATTTAGGCAAAATGATAGAATGTATTTCTCCCAGGACTGAAGACTGGGAAGTCCCAGGGGAAGAGGCTCACGGACTTGGGTTCTGGTGAGGACCGGCTGTCGCTCTAGGTGGTGCCTTCAACGCTGCATTCTCACCTGGTGGAAGGCAGAAGGTGAGACGGGCTGGAAGCTACCCGAAGGCCTTTCTGTAAGGGCCTTGGTCCTGCTTAGCAGAGGAGCTGCTGCTGCTGCTGCTGCTGCTGATTTTTTTCTTCAGAGCTGGGGATGGAACCCAGGGCTTCATATGTGCTAGGCAAAGTGCTCTGCCCCTGAGCAGCACCCCGGCGCTTTTTAAATTTTATTTTGAGACCGGGTCTAAGTTGCTTAGGGCATGGCTAAGTTGCTTAGGTTGGGCTCCAACTTGCAATCCTCTTGCCTTAGCCTCCTGAGTGGCTGGGATAACAGGCCTGGCGACTGCTGTCAGTGCTTTTGATATATTATGAATATTGAACTTTATCTGTCCCATGATTTGCAGACTTTCCCCCACTCCTGTAGGTTGTTTTCCACAGTCTTGAAGATGTTCTGTGCATGGAAACTTTTATTTTTATGAATTCTAGTGTATCATTTCTTTTGTCATGTGCTCTTGGTGTCAAATCTAAGACTTAGTTGCTATATGTAAGGTCATAAATGTGCACCCCTGAATTTTCTTCCAGATGCTTTATCATTTTAGCTTGTATATTGAGGTCATGGGCCCACTATGAGCTTGTCCTCCTACCTGGGGTGAGGTGAGGGCTCAGCTGCACTCTCCAACTGGCCCAGCCCCATTGGAAGGCTGTTCCTAACCCACAAATGGTCTGTCCTCCTTCTCAACAATCAGTTGCTCAGTCAAGTTGGGTCCTTGGGTTTGCTTACATGCTCTCCACTGGTCCCGCTGGCTTGTCCACCTGCCCTTATTTCTGTACCATGAGGTAGCTTTGAAGTGAGTTGAAGTTAAGTGACATGAATCTAATTCTTCCTTTTCTGTGTTGTTGGCTACTTGGGGCCCCTGGCAGTGCCATATGAACTTGTTCTTCTATTTCTGCAAAGAAGGCAGGGGAACTGGGCCGGGGCTGGTGTGAAGTCTTGGGTCCCGTTGGGGCACCGCCGTTTTGCCATTATCAGGTCTTCCAACCCCAAACTGGGCTGTCTCCTCATCTGCTCGGGGCCTGTGGCTTTCAAATCTGTGCTTAGGTATTTTGTTCTTTTGTGTTTCACTGCAAATGGAATTGGTTTCCTAATTTCCTTCTCAAATTATTCAATGCTGAGGTATCATTTGAATTCTCCCCCTTCACTGGCCTCGGAATGGGAATCCTCACGAGGCGGGCTCTCGTGGAAGAGCCTCACCTGGGTTTCCCTCCACCCCTCCCAGGGGCCCCTCCTGGAGTCACAGACACTCAGGGCCAGGTAGGAGCTCCTTGTGTGATCCTGCTCCTGCTCACCCGAGGCCAGGCTACAGTTCTTGATCCCACAGATAACCCCAAGACTGAGAGCCTGGGCCGATGCCTTCCCTGCCCTCCATTACCCCTGGGGACCCCTGTCAGCCAGGGCTGAGGAGGGAAGGCTGCAAAGCCAGAAGGGACTCTGCCCCTCCCCCAGATAGGCTGGGTTCTGTTGGCCTCATCAGGTGTGGGGCTCTGGGTGGGTGTCCTTGGGGGAGGACAGCCTCTTGGCCCCTTCACCCATGGTGCTGTGCCCAAAGTGATGCTGGCTTCCGGGCTGGGGGCCTGGGTGGTAGGATGGCTTGGGAAGCCTTGGCTCTGGCCTTGGTGGCCATGCTAACTGGAGGACAGCCCTTCCTCTCGGGGCTGGGGTCCTGCGTGGTGAATGGCCTGTCACTTCCTTGGCCCCTGGAAGTCCCTGTGGGGCCTCAGCCTGTTTGGAGGATGCTGACCTATCCCAGGGAGAAGAAGCAGGTTCTGGGGGGCGTGGCAACCATCCTCCTAACTGCCCTGAGCCTGCCTGGCCAGGGTAAGGCCGGGTCTCATAGGTCAAGGACCCAAGTGGTGGTTGGAGGTGGTGTGGCTTCCGGGGAGGGCTGAGGGGCACAAGAGCTGCCTCCCTGGCCTGGGGACATGAGGCCCAGCCCGCCAGGTGGGGCCAAGAAGGCTGGGCCCCAGGAACATCCAGGGCTGCCACCACTGTCCTCAGGGCCTCCCCTCCCCCACAGTGCTGTTGAGAAGGCCCTGGGGACACTGGTGGCAGCCTGGGTGTGTTCCCCACCCACAGGGAGCACCTGGCCACGGAAGTGCAGGATGGACCTTCCCTGCAGGGCCCCACAGCTGCCCTCAGGAGGGAAGAGCTGGTAGAGAGCCTCTGGGAGCAGCTTGCCCAGGGCCAGCCTGCCCAGCATGCTCCTGGCTCTCCTGCTACAGCATCTCAGGGATGGGTGACCTCCCCAGTCACTGGCCCCACTTCTTGTCACCTGGTGGGCAGGCGGGGTCTACCCCAACTTGGCCTCTGGGGTGCTGAGGCAGGGTGGGGCCAGAGGTGACTGGGCTGCAGCCACAGGGACCTGGTGTCCTGGTGTCACGGGAGGGCACAATGGCTGATGTGAGCATGCAGTAGGCTGCCATTTCCACTGCCTCATAGACTCTGAGGGGAGCTGAACCTGGGACCTTGAAAACAGCTGCCTCCTGCCGAGCGCTGCCCCCCAGGCATGGCCTTTCTGTGGGCCTCCTTCCAGGACCAGCAGCCGCGGGGCCCCATGGCTAGTGGGGCAGTAGAGGCCAGGGAGGCTGACCCGTGGAGGGAGGCACTGGAGGCTCTGGGCCTGGCTCACCTGTCAGCACCCCACAGGGCATGTTGCTCCTGTCCTGCCTCCTTGTCCTGCGGGAGTCACCTGAAGCTGGCCATTTGCCTCTTCTGCTGGGCACGTGAGCAAAGCCAGCCTGCAGCCGGCGCCCTTGCCCTGCCACAGGCCTGGAGTGGCTGTGGGGATCCGACTTGACGTCAGGCCTCCTTCCTGAGACTGCCTTGGTCCGTCCCCCGCTGTTATGAACACCCGATTTGTTCTCAGGTCGTGCGGACAGAAAAACTGATGCTAATAGGAAAAATATCATTCTTGTAACCAGAGCTGACCTGGCACAGCCCCATAGCGCTGGGCACCTCTCTTGTTTAGGATGAACCCTGATTTAGCAATCCCAGCGCAGGAGCCCTCCAGGTCTCCATGGCAACGGCTGCCTCCCCCTCTCTGGCAGGCGTGGAGGACTGGGAGCTGCGGCTGTCTGTGTCACAGGAACCCACCTTCTCAAGGCTGCACCCATGGCCAGGCCCCAGGTTTGCTGCTCATGGCCGCAGGCAGCCCCCAGGGTCCATTAGATCCCAGGACAGTGGCCAGCACAACGCCAGGAGCTCCACAAGGCAGGAGCCGCGGCCGTGCAGCTGTCGGGCTGCAACCTTCCTGGTTTCTCTGGCCAAGGACCCTGAGCCTTTGTGGGTTCTGTCTGGAAGGAGGGTCTCTGGCTGTGGACAGAGGGGGAGGTCCGCTGAATAATGCCTCCAAAGATGTCCACACCTCAACCGCAGGGCCGATGACTATGCTTGCCCCTCGTTAAAGCCGGTTTAGAGCCTGAAAATTGGTTCATTTGAAAATGGGATGGGGCTGGTCACCCAGGGGCCCAGGGTAGTCAACAACACTGAAAAGGAAGTGATGTCAAAACAAGCCCTCCCCTTCCCTGGACCTCCAGACACAAGAGACACTGCTGGCTCTGGAGAGAGGAGGGGCAGACAGGCCCCCCGGAGGGGGACAGAGGCGGAGCTTTCTCCCCAGCAGCAATGCTGCCCTGGGACACCTCATTCTCATGGACTTCCCATGAGGGACAACGGCTGGCCTTGTTAGAGAAGCAAGTGACAACACAGCGGCAGGAGCCCCCTGGAGCTCGGCCTTGGAGAAGAGACTGTGCGAGTCGTCTGCTCCCAAAGGGAGGGCCGCACTGGGTTGCTGAGGCTGGCTTTGAACTGTGACCTTCCTGCTTCCGCCTCCCAGCTGCTGGGGCCATAGGTGCGGCCTTCCCTTGAACAAACTCCTGTCACAGGGACAGACGGGGCACATGATGTAAAGCACTGTGCTTTCTTTTGGGGCAGCTTCAGAGGACTTAGGCGATACCCCCCCACCCCAAGGCTCCCTGCAGGCCTGCCTGGCCCCCCAGGGGCAGATGTTGCTTCCTGGGCAGAGACTGCCACCAGCGGCCACTTATGCATGTCTTTAGTTTTTATTAAGTTTATTATTTGTCATTGCTCTTAGCTTCACATTACGATTCCATGTTTTGTCAAAGTTTTTTTCAATTCTCATTTTGGTAAAATAAATAGAGATAAAGGAACTCTAGGCGGTGCTCTCTCGAGCCTGTTAACTTCATGATTGAGTTTTCGCATCAGCCTGGGAAGGCCCCGCCCACGCGGTGCTAGGGGATGCACAGCATGAGCAGAGCTCCAGCGGACCAGAGGGGAGGGCCTGACCCCTCCAGAGCCATCTGCACTTTGCCAGTGGTGGTTTTGCCTCAAAAGTAACAGAAATACAAGTTAGGTTGCAATCGAGCTGAACCTCAGCTACGGGAGGTCAGCAGCTCTGTGGGTGAAGCTCAGTTTCCAGAAGGTTCCAGGGTTTCACCCACAGGAGATCCCCACAGAGCTTAGGGGGTGCAGGGGAAAGGGAGAACTTGTGGGGGAGTCAGGACTTTCTAGGGCCTTTCTGACTCCAGGCTGCTTGTGCTCCCACGTGAAGGAAGGGCTTTCACCCTGGAACCTCCTGGTGGACAGCTCATTTCCTGGGGGCAGCAGAAGGGTCTCCTCCTCCTCCATCCTGCCTTGTCCACCCATCTGGCTCTGGGGTTGGCTCCGGGCTGCCCTCAGGGCTCCATCCACCTGGAAGAGTCTTGGCCAAAACAGAGCTATGGCCCCCCACATGAGGGGCCTGGCCTTCCTGTCCTGACTCACTCAGACCCCACTATTATTGGTCTCTGATCGGCAGAATCAATTAAGCCGTCTCATTCCTCATCTCTGAAAGATCCTGATTCCCAAGGAAAATGGAAACGCTTTCCAAACGCCATCATTGTGGTTGTGCCATGTGTGTGCAATCGGCAGCAATTCCGAGCTCCCTCCCATGGTCCAGCCGTCCACAAGGCCCCTCTGGAACTGCACATGCATGCGCACGCACACACAAACACACACACACACACACACACACACACACACACACACACACACACGCTGGGCAGGCCAGGCCAGGCCTCCAGAATGCTTCTGCATCACGGACTGCAAGATGCAAGCCTTGCTCACACCAGCGTAGGGCAAAGGGCTAAAGACCAGCTATTGCTGCCCACAACCCCTGGGGCTCCGTGCACCTCAGCACCTGCGTGAGGTGTGTGCATGGCAGGGAGGCCATGGCACCCATGCACACATGCACCCCAAGCAGGGACATGGAGGTCCTGGCCATGGTCACTAGAGCAGCACTTCAGGGATGAGCCTGCAGGTTGGGACGGTGGCTCATTTGTGAGGACCTTATTGTGTCTACAGCAGCAGAGCCAAGGGGCCCTCTCCTGCGAACGCCTTCCTGCGAGAAGGACCCAAACCAGAGCCCAAGGGCCTGGCTGCACGGGGGGTGGGGTGAGGGTGGCGAGCGCCCCTCTTCGTACCACGACCCCCCTTGACAGGGAGGCCTGCAGATGAGCAGCCCTG